TTTGAGGGCAACAGAGAAGCACCGTCTTTAGTTTCCCTGCAGAACATAAGAAAAGGCAAGTACACAACTTCAGGACATTCCAGAAAGCCAAGGAGCTTGGCACACCCACGCCAGCACTGAATAAATGAATGAGGATGCGCTCCTCCACGTGAGGGCCAGCTTCCGATGCCTGCCCGGGGGCATGTGGCAGTGGAAGGGGCCAGAATGACTATCTCCGCTGACCCTCTCCCTGGTATAAAAAGGAGGCCTCTTGCTGGCCTGCCAGCTGAACGGCATAAACCTCATATTCTAGGCTTCCTCCTCTTGCCCTCTTCATCTAAAGAATTTCCCAGGGGATCTACCGGAAAGATCAGACAGTAGGATGAGACACTAGCTTCCCCCATATTGGGGCTGTGGGCTGACATTTCCTTCCACAACAAAATAGTCATTGAAGCATCCACAACCAACCTTCCTAAGATCTGGAAGCCTAAACTCGATGAGAAGGAGTTCCATGATAATAATTATTAACAGAATAATGACGAGAATACTCATGAGGCACAGCCACAAACAACGATGTCCTAGTTAGTGGGGTGACCATATCTCTTACCCACATTAGGGCAATACTGAGCGAAAGAGGCCCTATTAATAAACGCATTAGGGTAACTGAAACAACTGAAGGGAAATTGGGGCCTATGGTCTTCCCATGGATAGCTGGGCAAAATTCAGTACCTGGAAACTTAAAATCATTTATTTAAACTGGTATTCACACACACACACACACACACACACACACACACACACAAAACCGGTATTAACAATATTCCTAACAGTTGAGCTACTCATTGTCTTACTAAAATGTGTCTAGAATGACTTCCAGGAGTTTAGACTTTCCCTCTGCAGCAGAAGGCTTTGCTCAGTTTCGTAACATATAATCATAGCACATAAAGTATTAAGTTTAGCCTTTTAGATTACACTGCAACAAGGCTAACTTCTTCCTCATCTTCTGGAGAAGAAGGCCCACAGGGAGCCTCTGAAATTGATCCCCAAACAACAGTATCTCCCCCTGAACAATATCTTACCAGTAAGAGTCAAAAATGAAAAGGAAAAAAAAAATAGTGGCCCTCCTGTGGTCAGCGTGCGTAAAGATCCCTGGGACCCTCATGGGCTCCCACCCCCTTCTCCTAATGGCCCACCCAGGGATCCAGTGAAATCCTAGAATCTTCGAGATGTGGATCCTGCTGGGGGGAACAGTCACTTCCCCGTTTCCTAGGAGTCTGGGACCATCTCGGGTTCCACTGGAACCCATGTCTTTACAAGGGACTGTGTAGTAAGCCTTTGGCTTTGTCGTACGGACACCACCGAGCTAAGGTAAATGTCAAAGACCGCGTAAGTACGCGAATGTTACTACCACACACTGACCTCTGTCTGCTGAGCACGAGCACATACCACAAGCTCACCACCCACTGTTCCAGACGCTAGAGCCCCCAGAGTGAGCAAACCAGACAAGTCCCCCCTTCCCTCCTGCAGTGCCATCAGCAGAGGTCACTGCTTCTCACCTCCAAGCCAAACCACACGTTACTCTCGAGAACTTTCCCCAGAAGCCTCCCCTAGCCCACCCGACCTGGGCTACTCGCACCCCAACCCCGACTCCTCAGCGCTGGACATGAAATCAGGGCCTTCTTGTACCTTCTCCAAGACCAAGCTTTCGCAGGCAACTGGAGCGCTTCCTCACGTGCATTAGAGGCAGTTTCAACAACTGAGGACTTTTTTTCAAGGCCACGTACACAGGCTCTGGGTTCAAACCCAAGAGTAGTAATTCTGTAATGATGTCCAACAACTGTTGAGGGTGCGGACTTGGCCACAGACGGAGCAATTCGTTAACGTGGACATCACTGAAACCCATGTCCAGGAGGGAAGTGATGACCTTCTCTTGCTCCAGGAACCCTGGAGCCAAAGGAGTCCTCTGCTTCTCATGGGGGCACCGAGTGAGGCTCGTCCCGCGCTCTGCTTCCTGCATGTACCTTCTGGATTCCACGCGGGATAACTTCTCGAGGCCCCCTCCATCGGAGGCTGTGGTCGGCGTACACAACAAAGATGCAGACGTCCTTTGCTGTTCTCCACGACGGGTCTGCCTAGCAATGCGGGCCCAGGGGAGGCGGACCAGGCGGTGCCAGTCGCAGACCTGTAAGACACAGCACCAAAAGGGGATCAGCTCCTCACCACTCCAGTGCAGAGGACACCCCGGAACTCTGGAGCCTGGGGCCAGGTTGTTTCGTGTCTTGGTCCCACACAAGCATAGCAGGCTTCGTAACCACCTGCCAACGCCGACCTGAGCGTGAAAGGCCTGCGGGGGAGACAGTTTGCACACAGAGAGCAGAGCCGAGCGAGTCCCTACCCGCTCGTGCCGCCCTAACGGAGGGGGCAGGGCACGGGGAGCCGGAGGGAACTGTCCCGCGGCCAGCCCGGAAAGTGGGCCCGGGTGTGGGCGCGTCTCCTCCCTCCACCCTCCAAGGAGCGCTGCCCGGGGGGCTGCGGGTGGAACTGAAAGCAGACGCGCGCGAAGAGAGACGCCAGGGCGCAGCCGTGCGCCGCTGCCGGCTCACGAAGCTCGGGGCCCGGCCTGCGCGCAGCGGGGAGGCTTCCGCGCGAGGAACGTGTCCACGGGGCAGCGCCGCTTCCCGCAGACGCCGGCGCCCCCGCGGGGGGCAGCGCGGCGGCCGCGCTCGCGAAGCCGGCTGTCTTCCTGAGATCGGGGCCTCCGAGGAGCCCGCCCTCTCGCCCGCTAGCCCGCGCGCAACAGCGGGCAGCAACCCCCGGCCGGCCGCGGGGCGCCAGCCGGTTCCCAGCCGGCAGCCCGGGGCCTCGCGCGAGTGCGCACACGGCTGGGCCGAAGGCCATGGCCCGCGCGCTGCGCGCCCTCCCGCCCCCGCCCCGTCGGCGCGCCCGCCGCTCCCTCCGTGCGGCTGGCGGCGAGACGAGCCCCGGCGCCGAGCGCCCTCACCTGCCGGCCGAGCGCCGCCATGGCGAGGCGGCGGCGAGCGCGGCGCCGGAAGTGGGGCGGCGCCGGAAGTGGGCCGTCGCCGTCCGCACTTCCGGCCGCGCCGCGGCAACCGCGGGAGCGCGGCAGGCGCGTTCCGCCGCGGCTCCGGTGCCGCCCGGCCTCGCCGCTCTGCGGGGGCCCCCGGCCGGCGCAGCTAGTGCGCAGCCCCTGCGCACGCATCCGCTCCCCACCGCTGCCGGCGGCCTGGCCGCTCCGCGACGAGCGCGGGGGCGCGGGCGCCCTCCCGACTCGCGGGCTCCGCCCCCTGGCGGAGACGCGGGGTAGCGCGCCGGCCTCGGCTCCACACCTGGGCTCGAGTCCGAAACCTGCGGAGCGTACCGGCCCCGCCGCGCGCCGCCGGCCCCGGGGCTGGGCGCCAAGGCAGCTCATGCTGCGAACGCGCCGTGTCCAAGACAAGGTCGGTTGTGTTCGTCGTTTTTCACTCGACTCAAAATAATGCTTTTACACTCGCAGCCTGAGAAAATCCTTGTAAGCCACGCGACTCCCTGGAAGGAATCGGTCAATGACGTAATCTAGCTCTAGGAGTGAAGTCATGGCCGCGATGCACGGGTTACTCTAAAAGCCAACAGCATCTTCAGCGCTCTGGGATCACACTGGGAACGTGGAGACGCCTACCTGCAGTCTCTCTGCAGAGGGCACTCAAAGCAGGCTTCCGACCGCCATCCGGTAGGATGGGTTTTGTTTTTTAATGAAGATTTTATTTATTTGACAGAGAGAGAGCACAAGCAGGGGGAATGGCAGGCAGAGGGAGAAGCAGGCCTCTCGCGGAGCAGGGAGCCTGATGTGGGACTCGATCCCTGGACCCTGGGATCATGACCCGAGCCGAAGGCAGACGCTTAACCGACTGAGCCACCCAGGCGCCCAGGTAGGATAGGTTTTGATTATTTTTTCTTAGAAGTCAGTGTCTGCAGAGCTAGCACTTTGCATTCATAGCCCATTGCACACTGTCTGAAAAAACATCCTGTAACTTATGTGTTACAAGCATCATATATACTACAAGGAAAAACATTTGGGTTTTTTTCACTCTGGAAGAGAATTCTTAAAATATCAAGAAATTCATTTGAATTCTGAAGCATAAAGGTCACTTCTTATTACACACTTAAAAAGTGTACTCCTAAAAACCATGCCTCTGCCATCCCTCCCCCTCCGCAGGTCAGTCTGCGCTGAGGGCAGGGACTCAGGCAGCACTTTCTAAGGGAACGGGATGGCAATATCCCCTACCCTCAAGGTTAAGGGTTAACTCAGCCGCTGTCCTGGCGTCGTGAGATATTAAAAGGCAGCTGAGTGCTCCCTAAGTGAATAGTGGAAAATGAGCACAGAACTTTACCAAAGCTGGGTGACCCCTGAGCATCTTCCTGAGGACTCAGCAGGAGGAGCCTACGACCTGCAGAAAGTGATGACGTGGTGGAAAGGGGGGCGGTCTTGGGTTTTTTTTTCTTCTTGCCATCTTAGCAAGGAAAAGAATAAAAGGTTTCCCTCTTACTCCTAACCACCTCCTCCCCTCCAACACAGATAGAAGAAAGGCTGCTTTGCGCATGCTCACTGAGCTCCCTGATTCTGTTTCAGAGGGGGTGGTTTGGAGCCTGGAGGGGAGGAGCCATCTAAGTGTGCGAGAGACCCCCGGGCACCTGAACCAGATGGGAAGCAGGCAGGCTGGACACCCACTGCAGACGCGGGGCTGGGGCTGGTGCCTGGGTGACAGCAGCGCCCAGACGGACGGTGGGCTAGAGCGCCGTGCAGGGGAGAAGGGACGGGCCTGACAACAGCTGGCCCCTCCCCCGGCCCCCTTAGACTGAACAAGCTGCGGGTCTGGGCCCACCCAGGGGAGAGACACCCCCCCCCCGCACAGATGGAGGCTGAGCCCCTCTCCAGCAGGGGCATGTCGGGGTACACAAACATAAAAGTAAAGCGATGAAACACTCCCCACGCCGGCATCGTGGAAGAATTCAGTCAGTCCAAGTCCGGATCATGGCTCACTACAAAATTGCTTTAATTTGGAAATGTTCAAAAAAATAAGTTAATGAAATAGTCTGGTCTCTGATAACCAGTTCTACCAACTCCACACATCAGATGAGCACATGTCAAGTCAGAGGAAACAAACACATGCATATATACAACATCAGAAAGATTAAAGCCCTTTCATGGCACAAAATTCAACCAAACGCTAGCATGCTTATCCAAGGTCATGTGAAAAATGAATTCCAAGTCTATTTATAACCCTAAAATCTGTAGCACCACTGGCTTTTGTTCTAGCATTTCTCAAACTTGCAGAGGAGTTTTTAGAAGGTGAATTGGGCCTAATGCTTGAGAATTTACTTTCTCTGACTGGAGGGGGCCTGAAAACAACCTGCTCCTGAGGGAGCAGCAGGGAGCTGGAGTTGGCGCATCAGGGGCCTCCCCTGGGGCACAGGGCCCCGCAGGGCTCCAGACCCCACGCCACTTCCCTGGCGCACCTGCTCTCGGCCTCCAGGCTCACACCGGACAGAGCTCCACTTTCTGAGAAAGAAGAAGACATGATATCAGGTGTTAACACAAGATCCTAAGACACTTGCTTCTCTCTGGTAGAATTCCTAGAACAAAGGACATCAGCAGGACGCTTGAGCACCCGCCTGGCACTGCTGCAGAGTCCCCGGCCCCTGCTGAGGTGATGCAGCGAGTTTATGCCCAGGGCCGCCAACACCAGCTCGGTCCGCCCGCTCCGAGCGGCAGTGACCAGACACACTGGGCTGCTGCTGCCCAGCTCTGCAGCCAGGAGCCTTGTCGGAAGAGCCAGGGCCCCCGGGTCCCCTCAGAGCACCCCGCTCGCCATCTGCAGCCTCACCCTCCCCTTCAGCTGGCCCAGGCCACCGCCAGCTGCTCTCAAACCCTCTGCCCCCCGCCCCTAGCCCCTCCTGTGGGTGCAGACTCAGGCCCCACGTGTTGCACAGGTGACGAGCCAGCGGCAGGCCCCGACGTTGGTGTCGGGCAGCGTGGAGGAGGGAGTGTCCTCTTCTCCCCAGACCCAGGAAGGCAGCCTGGGGCTCTCCTTGCCTTCTTGGCACACAGGTCATGCCTCTCACCTGGCTTGTTCATGCGACACACCTCATCCCAGGTGTAGTTAGCAAGATTCACGGGCTGTGTCACCCAGGGGTCTGTCGCCAGCTTCTCCAGGGTGGTGCGCTGCTCGGGCACAGGCTGCAGCAGCCCAGACATGAGGTTCATGAGATCTGGAGATATCAAGACCCACCTTAGGCATGTGGCCAGAAGACGGACGGTGGGTCGGGGCTGGGCCCAAGTGGAACAGGTCTCACACTGCAGGTCCTGGGTCTGCCCACCACGAGCACCTCTGACTGGCCCAGGAAACCTCCACTGACAAGCTGGGGGTTTGGGCACACGGGCCCAGCTACTCCCGGAGACGAGCTGCAGGACATGCCCGTCCCCTCTGAAATGAAAGTGTGGGGTTCAAGACCCCACCTCGCTCACCTAACCTACATGCGGAGCTTCTGGAGCGCAGTCTGTTCTCGGGGCTCTGGCCATGCAGAGCCTCAAATGACACCGGGTTCGTGTGATGAAAGTGGGGGGAGGCGGCCACAGGCGAGCCCTGCATCATCCCCCCAGAAGGAAGCACGGGCTCTGAGAAGAGACCCAGCCTTGGGTCTAGATTTGGGTCCCAATTCCTGTAACAATGTGGGTGTCTCCTCAACCAGGCTGCTCTGAGCCTCACCAGCCCAGAGGAGAGTCTTGAGAATGCAGTGAGAGAGCACCTGGAACGGTTTGTGGGAGGGACAGCACGAGGCAAGAAGCACGGCTCGTGGGAACCCAGAACCTTAGCAAAGCTCTAAAACTCCTCTTCTAGGCTGCTACGGACCGAACTATCTCCACGCCTTACCCCACCCCTATGGTGAAGCCCTAACCCCCAGTGCTCCCTGGGAGGTGATCAGGGTCACCTGAGGTCATCAAGGTAGGGCTCCATGATGGGATTAGTGCCGTTGTAAGAAGAAGAGAGACCAGGGGCGCCTGGGTGGCTCAGTTGGTTAAGCATCTGCCTTCAGCTCAGGTCATGATCCCAGGGTCCTGGGATCGGGTCCCACATCGGGCTCCCTGCTCCGCGGGAAGCCTGCTTCTCCCTCTCCCTCTGCTCCTCCCCCCACTTGTGCTCACGGGCTTTCTCTCTCTCTCAAATAAATAAATAAAATCTTTAAAAAAAACATTTACATGAGGGTTTAGTCACATTCAAGTTACACTTCTGCTCAGATCAGCGTTTGACGAATGGGAAGCAAGCAAGCCCGTCAGCACGGACAGAGTCGCTGTGCTCGAGGTGGGGGGCCGGGCGCCCTCACCTTCTGACACCAGGTATGGGGGGTGGATCATGGCCTCCATGGTCTCCTCCAGCTCGCAGAAAGGGTTCTCCTCAAAGATCAGCGTGTAGAGCGTGACCCCCAGCGACCACATCTCCAGCTCCGGCCCCTTGTACCTGCAAGGGGGAGGTGGCGGCAGCATTCGGGACATGCCGGGGCTCAGCCCACCCCACGTGCAGCCCTCGACAGTGGCCCCCAGCACGTCCTGCGGCCCTCCTCGACTACGCCTTCCATTCCAGCACCTCTGCCTCCGCCAGCCATGCTCCAGCCACGTGCTGGAGAGAGAAAAGAAAAGCAAGACTTCATGTCCAGGCAGCTAAGAGATGCCCACCACGAGATAAGAGGGTGTGCGGCACGAGAGAGCAGAGCACCTCCTGATGGGAGGCTTCCTGGAGGAGGTGGAGAGAAGGCACAGCAGACAGAGTGGAGGCTCCAGTCCACGCAGGAGCAGAAGGAGGGCCAAGGTGACAGCAGCGACCTAGATATAGAGCGTGAAGGAGGAGGCAGAGGGGTCCAGGCTGGGCCAACCGGGCAACAGGCTGGCAGCCAGGGGACGACGGTGCCCCACTGCCATGCTTTGTCGTTGGTAAGGATGGACCTCACCCAGCTTCCGTTCACCGGCACCCTGAGATGCCAGCGCTGTGCCAGGCATTTTATGTGGTCCAACCCTAAACCCCACACCCAGCCTGAGAAACGGCACCCTCACTGTACACAGAAGGTGTGGAGCTGCGGCCGAGCTGCCCTGGAGCTGGCTGGCCACTCAGCTCTGGCCCAGACAGCAGGGACCACGGAGTCAGACAACGTGGCTGAGAGACACTGGTGAGAGCGGAGAGGGTGCAGGACATCGGGAGGCCGAAGACCAGGACGGGGGCGCTGGACGCTGGGAGGGTCAGAGGACAGACGTCAGGAAAGTGCGGGATGAGAGGCTGCACAAGCCGGGGCGAGAAAACCCCATTCAACACTCGGTATTTTCGTGTTGTTTCAGAAAGAGCAATTTCAACAGCACTGGAGAGTAAAGCGAAAAATCCAATAAAGTACCACAGTGACAGCACCGTTTCTGTAAAGCGCCAAAGGGAAACCTTGTGGGCCACGTGACCTCTGTCGCCACAACGACACTGCCAGGGCAGCACCAAAGCAGCCACAGAGGCCACAGAGGCCGACAAACACGGCTGTGTTCCAAGAAAACTTTATTCATAAAACCCAGTGGTGGGCCAGGTTTGGTCAAGGGCCACAGTCTGCTGTCCCCTAGAGCAGAACGATGAGGGAGGAAGCAGAGTTCCCGAGGAGGGGTCTAGAATCAGAGCCCGGAAAACCACAGGTGCAGTGACATGGGGGGCGGGGGGGCGGGATGGACCAAGGAGCTCATAGGAGGGCACCTGCAGAGGCCAAAGAGGAGGGAGCAGCAGCGCTGCAGGGCAGGGGCTCCAGGAGAAGGTGGAACGCCCTGGGGAGGGCCGGAGGTCCCTGAGCAGCACCGCGGTACACCATCGCCCTGCACTCCCCCGTGGGAGCTTCCCAGCCTGGCTGCAGGAGGTGGGGCAGGGGGCAGAGAAGCCACAGAGCACGTGTCAGGGTTCCGTGGACAGGTCACGCAGCCCCCTCCAACTCCAGTGGCCACCTCGGGACGAGACAGCAGCCAACACAGCACCTGGGGGCACCAGGGTGATCAAATCACATCTTCAAAGAAACTCCAAGGTCCTTCCTGGACTAACCCCCTTCAATATTTCATCCTGTCTGGTGGCTCTGGGTGTGCACAAAAGTGACAGGAAAAGGGTTTCCTGAGCACTGCCAGGCCCCCCGGCAGCCGGCAGGCTCCAGGGCAGGGACATACCGTCCCCCCCGGCAGGAGCCGGAGGCCCAGCCAGGCCCCAGGCCAACGCAGGTCCTCGGCATTAGCGCCTTCGATGCCGGACGTCACGTACGGCCAGCCCGCCCATCTGTTACCCAGTGGGCGATTATGTCTGTCATCACAATGACTAAACCCAACTGAAGAGAAACGCTCTCCATCCACTTGAAGAGTCTCAACTTTTGGGACTCCTATCTTGATCTTTCATCTTATTCTCAATCTCTAATTACATAAAACTCCAAACACACAGAGAAGTTGAGAACGTAACAACAAAGCGCGGTGGCCACGGCCCACCTTCCCTTAACCCACCGACCTTTGCCTGCCTGCCCGCTTAGGACCAAGACCTACGTCATCACTCAGCAGCCTTGTCACGAAGAGGCCCAAATGGAAACTGTTTTCCCACCTAAACTCCAAGTGGTCCCGGGTCGCGATGAAAGATGTGCGGTCAGGCCCCAGTGCAGCACCATACGTACGGGTTTCCCATGAGGACTTCGGGTGCGCAGTACTCAATAGTCCCACAAAACGTATGAAACAGCCTGCCCTTCTCCAAGTAGGCAGCGGAGCCGAAGTCGATCAGCTTGATGGTAAAGTCCTCCGCGATCACAATGTTCTCGTCTTTGATGTCGCGGTGAATGATGCTCTTCGAGCGCAGGTACCCCACCGCCGTCACCAGCTGCAATCGGGCACAGGGACTTTTTTAAGAAAGCAATTCAAGTAAAACATGCATCTAAAATAAGGACTAACTCGAAAACAAGACAAAACAACAAAGAAAAACACCCCTTGTCTAATTGCTAATGAACTAGTGGCAGGAAAGAACCCTGGACATGCGGACCCAATCCAGCTCAGCAGGGGTGGCGCAAGCCCGGGTGGGGTGCTCAACGTGGCTGGCCTGATTCACCCACCGGCAGCAGCACCAGCCAGTATGGGATTCCTCTTTAAAATTTCATTATTCTCGGGCGGACGCCTGGGTGGCTCAGTTGGTTGAGCGTCTGCCTTCGGCTCAGGTCATGATCCCAGGGTCCTGGGATCGAGTCCCACATCGGGCCCCCTGCTCGGCGGGAAGCCTGCTTCTCCCTCTCCCACTCCCCCTGCTTGTGTTCCCTTTCTCACTGTCTCTCTCTGTCAAAAAATAAAATAAAATCTTTCGAAAAAAAAAAAAGAAAAAGAAAATGAAAAGACAGGGGCCCCTGTGTGGCTCAGTGGGTAAAGTATCCAACTCTTGATTTCAGCTCAGGTCGTGATCTCGGGGTCCTGGGATCGAGCGCCATATTGGGCTCCCTGCTCTGCAGGAAGCCTGCTTCTCCCTCTCCCTCTGCCACTCCCCCTGCTCATGCTCTCTGTCTCTCTCTCTCTTATTCTCTCAAATAAATAAATAAAATCTGTAAAAAAAAAGTCAATTCTCATTATCAGCGATATAGACACTCAGCACATTGTTAAGTATACAACACACTATCGTTGGCTGTGAAACGGGATTTTGTGGGTATAACTGATGCTTCATGCCCTCTAACACCCCACGTGTCCCCAGCACAAATACGTGATTCTCGGGTTCTCTCCATGTGCTACAGACAAGCGTCACTCACCCCACAACACAGGACTGACAATCTCGGAAGGAAGGGCAGACTGACCACAAGCAGAAGCTACAAAGACATGTGGTTTGGGCGTGAAATGGCAGGCGGCCCTAGAGAAAGACTGAATGTCTTCGGTTCACATGGAAGGAAAGTGCCTTGCCCAGAGTTCACGCCGCGGTTAGGGGCAGAGATGAGAGCAGAGCCAAATCTCCAAACCCCCACCTCAGGGCTCTAACGGCTTCTCAGAGGGCAGCCCTGGGCGTCAGCCACACCGGCCCCAACGTGTGCAGGATTCTTATCCATGTGCACGTAAAGTAATTCCCCTGGAGATGGGCTTTGTTCCAGCAAATCAAGTGCAACAGTCTCCACTCTGGAAGGGAACAGTGACTTATTGTGACCTGCTGTACGGGAGGAGCCTACACCACACATCCGATGACAGACATGAACCAAAGGAAGCTTTTGGTTAAGTTTAAATAAGATAAGTAAAGTTTCTGACTGCATTCACAATTTGGACACCAATTATACCAGTCAACATAGTGTCTTCATGGACATAGTCATTTTGATTAGAGACAATTTTATATTTACAAATGAATACCCTTGAATAAGAGGCTATATAGTTAATGGTGGGTTAACTGTGCCCAATTAATTGACAACTAGTAAATACATATTTATATGCGCATATATGCAAACACATACATATCTGCATTCTGATTTATACACATTTATATACACCCATGCATGCACAGATACACACATGTGCACGCCCGTACACTCACACGTGTGTACACAAACACACAGATACATCCGTGTGTACACACACACATGCCAGGGTCCAGCTGGGAACAGAAGCCGTGTACTAATTGGAATGTGGAAAGTTTCACAGAGGTTTACTAATTCGCAGCAAGGGATTCATCACAAAGGTCTGAAGAGAACCTGAGTCCAGGCAGAGAAGCCAGTCCTCCTGCAGGCCCTCCAGCACCCTGGCTACACGGGAGGGCTGGTCGTTAGCAGCCTGAGGCACTTGGAGCTGAGCAGGCACAGTCTGCTAGTAAATGGCCCTGTATTATAGACACTGGTGTATGATGACGCTTTTCTATAAAATTGCGAGTCCCTATTTACATATGATAGCACTTACATATATAAATTTACAGAGAGGCTATAGATACTTCTTGCAAAATTATAAAGTATGGGACACTGTAATTACCAAATCAATGGCCCCAGAATTAACAACTGAGAGACAGCAGCTTTTAACAGGTGACTCTTATTATACACAGTCTGCTTGCCGTGAAGATTTCAGACACAAATTTTTGCCACGCATTACAGTAGATGGGTCTATAACCTTGCAACACAGAAAGAGGAAGCAGAACCATGATGCCTGAAACTTACAGGGAGGTGCCTCAGAAATCCAGTAGCTTCTGGGAATTTATAGCTCTGAGTAAGAAATGTCAACTTATGGAAACTGGCATTAGACATGGAGTCCTCATCAGGAAACAATCAGTGAGCAAATCTGAGAACAGTTCTCTCCCCTTCCCAGGTATTTCTCCATTGTTTCCAGGGAGCTAGGAATAGTCTAGGATGAAACCATCACCTTCTCCTAAAAACTCAAAACAGGAACAATTTGGTCCCCTCCACCCCCTACCCAACCTCTCTGTCTCCCAGGACGCTTATTTTGCTCATCACTCTCCCGTTCCAACAAAATAATAAATGGACAAAATCAACACACAGACAGGAAAGAGACCAAAATACATACTGTAAAACAAGATTGCTAGAATCTCAACCTTTACTGATTGCCTCAATTAACTGGACAGCTACCACCTACTGAGCCCTTACTGTGTGCAGGACCGCACCACACATAGTGAGCGCCTCAGAGGCTCTCTCTGACTAAACAGCCTTCCCTTGTCAGCCCTATAATGATCCCTGCCCACAGATGAGCAATGGTTCCCTGCAGAGAGACGGCTCAGATCAGATGCACAGGCCTCAAAGCCTAACCTGATAGCTTTGTTGGATAAGTTTTGCAACTGGTGTGGATACTGTATGAACATAAAAAAACTTGAATCATTAAACATACTTCCCTCATCAGTCCAGGATGGCATCTGGCCTCCCACATATATCTTAATATATACCTTACTCCATAAAATCCAAACTCTGAAGGCTAGACCCTCGCTCACAGAGATAAGTGTGTATGAACCACGTAGCCCTGCAGCCTCGGGACCCCATGCCCAAGCCCAGGATCTCCCCAGCACGGCTCTGGCCTGCTCACTTGTCGGAAGATGTAACTTGCCAGGGGCTCGTCAAGGCTGGGGTGGCGGTCAATGAATGCAAACAGGTCCAGGCCGGAGCCGTGCTTCTCCATCACAAGCTGAAAGAACCCTTGGTTTTCAAATACGTCCAACACCTGGAAAAAGACAAAGTCAGGTCTGGGCCTGCTGAGATGCCCTCAGTACAACATATTTAACAACTTCTCACGTGAGTGATGTCAGGACACCACTAAATGAGAAATGGCACTCCACCTTGATGATATTGGCGTGGTCCACCCTGGACAGAATTGCAATCTCTAAAGTAACTTTTCCAAGTTTGGGATCCTCGATCCAACAATCTTCCAAAACCTTCTCCTTCTTAATAAACTTTACCACCACCTAGGAGGAAGACAGAGGGGAGAAGTAACCGCCAGCATGCCTCCAGCATCCTGTCGAACGTGGCGCCCACTGCTCGCTCAGTGTAGACGCAACCCCCACATGTGCCTCCCCTGACTCCCAGGGATGGGAGAGAAGCAGCCCAGGAGCGCCCCTGCCCCCCACACAGCACGAGGGGCAGAGAGGTGCTGCAGCAGCTGCTGACAAGGCCCAGGAGACTGAAGGCATGGTGGAGGGGCTGCGAACCTGGCCCGAGCCCTTGCAGCACCCCCATGTCACAACCGAGGACTGGTGCCCTGACAGAGGAAATGAAAGAGGAAGCCCGAGAACTGGATAACACAGATCAAGGCCGTCACCCACATCAGCTGGGAGCTAAGGGGAGTCTGGCAAGACCAACGGACACAGGCAAACACAGGGAAACACATCACTGCCCAGGACGACGGGGAGTGTCACAGGGCGGAGACGCCGGGCACCACTCAGCAGAGCACATTCTGTCAGGAAGGGACAGGCACGTGGCGGAGGGGCACACGGTGAGCAGGAACTGCAGGCCAGGCCCTCCCCACGCTTCAGCTGGAGACCCCACAAGATGACCCACGAGCCCCGCTGACGAGCTCATTGTCCACAGGTCGGGGGAGGGCGGCCAACACACGGCGTGCACTGTGGATCAGGCGAGCAGGGAAGAGGGGCCCGCCCGAGGGGCTGCCGGGCAGCGGGAGGGGAGTGCACACAGGTGGGCAGCACAGGAGTGCAGGCAGTCGGCCAGCACCAAGGCAGGAGGGGCAGGGAGAAGCACCCGCAGCGCCCAGTCAGGCCTCACAGTGACCACAGATGGCTTAGCGCCAGCCATCAATGCTGACCAGTGGTCAAATCCTGAAGATCGTGTGAAGAGAGGGCCCTGGAGTCCACAGGCCAGAGGAGACACGTGACAGTAGGTAAGAGCAGAGGGCAGCAAGGCTGACGTCCCAGCGCCCGGGAGCGTGGCCAGGTGGGGAGATGCAGAGGCTGCGGCTGGAGGCAGAAGTGCGCACCGCCGGTCCCTCTGCAGGGTTCGAGGAGGCGAGAAGGCCGCCACGAGCTCCAACACACACCTACAGGGGGCTTTGGGGGAAAGTACAGAGCGAGAAAGAAGAAGGATTAACAGAACAGAAGGTAAAGAAAGCTTTAAACATTCAGATCAAAGTCTTACCAAGCATCAAGCAAGAATAAATAACGCACACACAGAAATATATCCTGGGGAAGTTTCTGAAGTCCAAAGATTAAAAGAAATTCAGAAAGAAAAAACATCAGGTTGCTTTTCAAAAGCATGCTGGAGGACACAGAGCTGGCGCTCACGCGCTCGGAGAGAACCACGCGGATCACCACTAACACGCGGGAGAAACAAACCAGTCAGAATACGTGTGAGGACATGTGACGCCCACACGCCCATCAGTAACCAACATTCCAGCAAATGAAAATTAGACACAAGAAAGGGAAGAAACCGGATGTGGAAATAAGGCAGATTTCAGAAACTCACCAAAAACCACAGAACACACTGAGAGAAATGTAAAGATCTAAACACTTGGAAAGACACCCAGGTCATGGGTCACGTGAAGATGGCGGTGCCACCAAGTGCCCTGCAGACTGAGACTCCAGAACCGCACTCAGTCCCCCAACGGTGGCCTCTCCCTCGCGGGGCCATGTTCTGACAGGCCGCTTTCCGGGATCATTTGTGGGCCTGGTAATACGGGAGCTGGCATCTCTGTGCTCTGAGACACAAAAAGACTCCTGTGTTTCTTTTCAGACCAAGAGAAGAGTTCCCAGGCTTCTTTCTTCTTCCTTTAGGTCTGGCGGTCTACAGAAACCCTGTAGTCTATCGGGTCCCTGACTCAGCCAAGAATGAGACCTACCTCACGGAGAGTAGAGACAGCAACAGAACCTTGAGAATTAAACCCCCTATGAACCCATGATAGCAGGAGAGGCAGACGCCATGGCCTCCGGAAGGTGGGCTCAGAAGACGCGCCCGGGAAGCGCCCTGTTACTCAGTAACGGCCCAACATGCGGGAAATATAGCCATATTAACTCGCAGAAAGTACAAGAAGACAAGACAAATATTTGACAAATAAAGCAGACAATTCTTTGACAAGTCTAGCAACAACTAGACTAGAGAGTGGACACAAGAATTAGGGCAGCCTGGGGAACAGGATCAGCCGCGGACATACGGTCAAACGCGCTGATGGGCAAAAACGCTGCCACCTCTGCAGGCCTCTTGTAACTTGGACATAAAAAAAGAAAAGAAAGAAAACTGATGCATGAATATAAATGAAAAAAAATCCCAAGTAAAAATGTTAGCAAACCGAATTCAGCAGTGCATTACAAGAATATTAAAACCTAACCGAGGATTGGTTCTCCGGATATGATTTGATTGGTGTTATTCATTATATTAGTAAAGGAAACCAGGGTCTGATCATCTCAACAGATGCTGAAAAGACATCTGATAGAACTCATCACTCATTTTTCAAGAAAAATTTCAGTGAGCTGAAAATAAGAGGAAATATCCCCAGCAGAAGGTCTCCATCAAGAACAGAACGGGGGCGCCTGGGTGGCTCCGTCGTTGAGCGTCTGCCTTCAGCTCAGGTCATGGTCCCAGGGTCCTGGGATCGAGCCCCACGTCGGGCTCCCTGCTCGGCGGGAAGCCCGCTTCTCCCTCTGCCACTCCCCCTGCTTGTGTTCCTTCTCTCGCTGTGTCTCTCTCTCTCTCTCAAATAAATAAATAAATAAAATCTTTAGATGTGACCAGGCAGGAGAGCCGGCAGCACGCCTGCTCCTGAGCACGGCCCTGCAGGTCCCAGAGGCCAGCGGGCTATGATGGCCACTCACCTAGAACCTTGAAGGACCCACTGAAAACATGTTAGAGCCTGGCAGACCGGCACAGGTGCGTGCGGTGTTAACGCCACCTGCAGCCGGTAGAGCAGTAAGTGATCAGGCCCCGCAGCCGTCAGGAGACCGCATGCGTGCTCGGCCCCCCAGACTCAGCAGGCAGCACGGGGACACGCGGGCAGGGGCAGGGTATCTGCGGTATTTGCTGGGATGAGCAGGACTGTCACCACGTTGATTCCCTCAAATCACAAAACGCTCAATTACAAACGCAATCCCAACAGGACTTGGGAGGAGGGCGGCGAGGTCTCAGCCTGAAAGTCAAGCCCTGACATCAGCCTCTGGGTGAAAGGGCACAGTGTGCGGCCCAGCGTGTGTGTGAAGTGGCGAGCAGGATGACCGGGCGTGAACGCATGCGCTGCCAGAAGGGCCCTCCAGGGCCAGACTCCAACCCGGGCCGGCCCGTGTGCTTGGCACTACACAGAGGACTCCTCTGTCACGGCCATCTCAGAGTCTAGACCCAAAGGCACTGAGGCCAGGGCTGCACCTGAGCGGGGCCCCCACTACTGAACGTGGCCCGAGAGCCACAGCACCTCCTTGTTGGCTTCCTTGTCCACTGCAGTCCAGACGAAGCCAAAGGCCCCACTGCCCAGGGGGCTCAGCGTGCTGTACTTGCGGGAGTATGCGCCCTCACAGGCTGCCGGCCCCTCCAGCTCCACAGCCCTGGGGGGCTCCTCGAACCAGGGCTTGCTTCTGAGCATCTGTGGATGAAACGGGAGGCCTAAGGGGCCACGCGTGACCCAAGAAAGAAAGGGAACAGCAAGCAGACTCCTGTCATCGGCCCCCTGTCCCCATGCCCCAGGGGGGCTGGCCTGAGAAGTGCTCTCCACATCCACCCAAACTGGCACACACGCCAAGACCCCACCCTGCATGTGGGGCAAACTCAGGTTTAAAATCCCACGTATGGTTTCAGACTTACCCACAATACCAGCAGGCAGGGTGGAAAAAGCCCCAGATGGCTCCTCCTCCCATCCCAGAGGAAGCAGAGAGAAAGAGAGAGAGAGATGCCAGGCAGGATCCCTTCCCACACCACAAGGCGGGTACAAGGCAGAAGCTGCGCGCAGGCCCCCACCTCCCCCATGCTGGGTTCAGAAAGCTCGCACACGGAGTGGCTGGAGCTGGGCAGGCTGGCCAGGAGCAGACGGGTCCGCGTGGCCGAGTCCCGGCGGCTGTGCAGCAGGTCCTTCATGAGCCAGCAGCAGAACAGGGTTGCGGAGCCTTGGAGCTCCACCCGCTTCACCTCAAACTGCACACCTGGGCGGGGGAAGTGGGGTCAGCAGGGTGGTGTCACGGCGAAGGAGGCACATCCTCCCAGAGCGCACGCGAGGGGCAGGGCGGGGGCATCCACACTTGGACGGGGGCAAAGCCCGGAGACCCACATTCAACCCCGCCCCCAACCCCGCACCGTGTCTGCCTCCAGCCTCGACCACAGCAACACACATGGACGTACGTACAAGGCACAGTTTCACGCAAGTGCATGTGTTTTTACACAGCCTCCAAGGTATATGCCAAAACAAACGGGGTTATATTTGGGGGGCATTTACAGGTGATCTTGTGTTTTTGTTGGCATTTTCTAGTCTTTCTACAGATAACACAGTACTTGCATAACTCTTTAAAGTTTAGGAGGAAAGCCTTAGTAATCAACATTCTGAAATCAGCAGTAAGGACACAACTGGCTAATGTGACACGGATCTGCTAAGTTAGTAAAATACAGGGGCGCCTGGGTGGTTCAGTCGGTGAAGCGTCTGCCTTGGGCTCAGGTCATGATCCCTGGGTCCTGGGATCCAGTCCCGCATGGGGCTCCCTGCTCGGCGGGGAGTCTGCTTCTCCCTCTGCCTGCCACTCCCTCTGCTTGTGTTTGCTCTCTCCCTCTCTCCCCCTCTCTCTCTGGGTCAAATAGATTAAAAAAATCTTAAAAAAAAAAAAAAGTTAGGAAAATATAAAGTACAACAAAAATAATCAACTCCAAGGGGCAAGTGAAGGGGCCTGATCCTGAGCAAGCGCACCCAACAGCACGGCAGCCTAAAGCCCAGCACAGGAGGGGCCGCCCCAGGCAACCACGGTGCACGCAGTGGCTTCCAAGGAGGGACACAGAGGCAGCTGGGACCTCAAGCTGCACCCTTCCCAGGCACAGGCACTTATAACCCTAATTTTCAAGAGATGAGCTCTCACTACAGAACCCTAACGTTGCTACCAAAACTATTCAGGGGTTGCAGCCGCATCAGACCCCAGGACGAGGAAGGCCCGGCCCCCAGCCACAGTGCTCCTACAGGGGCTCCAGGGCACAGCCCCCCACACGTACTCAGCTGGGCTCCATCCCGGTGGTAGCAGCTGCCGGCGTAGGTCCCCTCCTGGATCTCCTGCTGCACGCGGGTACCCCCAGATGTTGCCGGGCTGTCCCCTCTCACAGGTGTGGAGGTGACCTGGAAACTCAACCTGGGCTCCTCTGATGGGCACACATCTGCGGGGCCAGCCCCCGGCGTGGGAAGGACACAGGCTGGGCTCTCTCTGCCACTCACTTCATAGTGTTCTGAGGACACCAGACACGTCTCGGAGGGCTCTACTTGATGGGGCCCCAGACGGCTCTCGCAAAACTGCCGAGCCTCCCCAAGATCGAAGTAAGTGCCGGTCAGGAGCAACAATTCTCGGTCATCCAGAACATCTGATCTCCGCCGGTGCAGACCACTCATGTCTACATCAGAGCCTGCCGGTGAAGGAGACGGCGTCCCCACAAGCTCAGACGCAGTGCCGGAACAGCTGGAGGAAGTTCGATCTGTCCATTCATTGTAAAAGAGTTCCTTGAGGTTCCAGGAAAATGAATTCCCATCAGCCTCCTGGGCTGGCGCTGCATCCAGCACACCAGGGAGGTCTGTGGCCAGAGCATAGTAGGCCGAGGAGCTGCCTGCTCGGCTGCACAGGGCCCTGCTTCCTGGGTCGCACAAGGACACAGGGGCAGAGAATTGGGGGCGCTCTTCTGGGGCCAGCTTGCTGTAAGAGACACCCAGTGGTTCCACGAGGCTCAACTTGGACAGCTGCTCCTTAATTAAGCAAGTCTGTAGCTCCTCGCGGTCATTCTCCACGGCCACCCACGGCTCATCCAGAGTAGGCATCAAAAACGGGAGTTGTGCTGTCCTGGGGGGGCTTCCTGACTGCGTGCTCTGCTCACCCCCATATCCAGGGCAGGGCATCAGGAGACCCTCCCCTGCCAGCTGGCCTGTGGCATGGGGCTCGGGCATGATGGTATCAGCCCGATGGTTCGAATTGCGGGCACTGCTCAAGCTTGTCCACTCCAACTGTGCCTCATACAGGCTACACATTTCAGCATGCCTGCTCCTATCCTCAGATCCTTCACGGGAGGCAGACATCCATGTGTGCACTGGGTGAGACCCGCTTCTTCCTACAAGGTCCTGTCTGAGGCTTTCTGGGGCTGCAGGTTCCTCTTTCTCCAAGAGAGCATTCGGCTGGTCATCGGCTGATGACTGTTGGCTATGGGCTGGTGCGCTTCCCTCCGGGATGTCTCGCTGGTCCTTGGGTGACAACCATTCCTGGGCTGGTGCGCTTCCTTCCGGGATGTCTCCCTGGTCC